GCAAGTTCATTCATTACCAGCCGTGCTGCTGCTTGTTGGACCGCTGCCAGCCACTTGCATATCTTCTGAGCATCGCAGCCTGTCTCATCAAGACACCCACAGCCCAGGGCTGTGAATTCACAGCTGCAATGTTTCTTGCTATCATGATGACAATGACCTTGTTTTAGTGGCTGCTGCTGAAGTAGCTGTGGTGTAATACAGAGAAGACAAGCAGGGAATGTGGAAGCAGCCGGGCTGTATTTGGTGCTCAGCCCATTGTGTCCAGAACTAGAGCTCGCACCCCTGCATGTGTCTGTTGTGGGAGAGGTGCATCCTAATCCCCCCTATGTCACCCTTAGGGGAGACAAATGATATTTTCTTCTATTTTTTCTCTCCTTATAAGGGTCTTTATTGCTGAGATTAAATCCCCAAAATTGCGATGTATAGCAGAAACAATATATGGCTGAATTGTTTAGCATTCGTAGACATCTTGGCAGGAACAGATTTATAAGTAAATGTGCRTTAGATACATCTAATACTGACTTCAGGTTAGGTCCTTGGATGATGTAAACTGGCCTTTATTGCTAGTAGAGAAAGTTAAAGCAGTTTATATCAGCAGAGTACCTGATCGCTCATATCTAATACTGTAAGAGCTGCTGTGGAGGTGCAGGTTCAAGTGGCTATTTGGTTTTGATGCTTCAGCAATATAACAGTCTGTAGTAATCTGTAAGAATAGGGGAGTAGATTGTAGAGAGATGAAACYTCAACTTGCTTGCAAAATCTTTCAAAGTTCAGTGCAAAAGTATTGCAGGTGGAGGCTGGAAAGTGTCTGCAGAGGAGCATCCTCTGTGCACTGTTACATAGATCTCTTAGAGGAAGAYGCTGTCCTGGCAGATTGCTGTTACWGACTTCGCTTTCAGCTAGCTGTGGGGCAAAAGCCACTTCCAATTTCCAGGTAGCTTTAATTATACTCCCTTTTGGTGGATAAAATACAACTACACAAGAAAAGATGAGAGGAAAAAAGGCTAGCAGAAGGGCATGCTAGTTTTCTTAGTCCTCAAACCAGCATATGTCCAGACATTGTTTCTATAATGTCTGTGTATAAGTATATATTTTAGAAAAAGTAATTAATGGGAAGGGTTTCAAATRCATGAGGCGGGCATTGTGGTGCAGGAGGAATCTTGTCTTTGTTTAATTTGGCCTAAATCTGGGATTGATCCCAAGGCTCTGGGAGACTCACAGGAGACTTACTGTGGGAGAACAGCCTGACAGTCAATTGAGTACAAGGTTCAGAGTGAATTTTGCACATTTGCTTGCAAATATTCTCTGCTCTTTTAGTTCAGTATGGCCTTATAAGGAAAAATATGGTTTCAGTGGAGGTTCTGGTTCTCCAGTGATAGGAAATGTTTTATTTTAGTCCTTTTTTAACCTATAGCAGTAACCTCATGCATCTGTTCAGCACTTCCTTGCAAAAGTATCTGTATCCCTCACTATATTCCATACCCTTGGCATTTCAGAGACCGCAGGAAATGTTTGCCCTGCTTTGTCCTTCTCCTGACAATGCACATGTGCAAGAGACAATTTGGAAATGCTTGTGTCTTTTGATTGGCAATAGACATTTTTGCTTTGAGTTCTGGCAAAAGGTTTGTGCTCCCCAGAAAGCTTTTCAGTTAACTCATCTCATTTGCATGACTAAACGGTGGTTCTGCATCATTGCATTGCAAAAGATTTGCAGGCATCCAAATACATTTCACTGCTGGAAAGAAAAAGCAGTAAATCAAACTGCTATGTATGGTTAAATTGCTTTAAACTAAAAAATCTCAATACAAATGAATTCTTTTATGCTGTCAAATTGAGCCTTAGGAATAAGAAATGGTGGTGCTTCAAGCCCTGGAATAATCTGGGTGTGGATGGTGGAGACAACAAGAGATGCCTTCGTTTAGGATGTTATCCTGCTTACTGCCAACATAAGGCAAAATGCTGGTGATTCACTGCTGGAATTCACCACTGTATCAAATATATTGCCATGAATTATTTAGCAAAGCTAATTGGATGTTAATTTTGCTATTGGAGATAAGTAGCTACTGAGCTTAGGCTGAAAAATCAATTTATATATAAGTCATTGTCTCAGTATCACTTGGAGCCTGCGGGGCTCATTTCCAGTGCTGCCTGTTTTCTGCAGGAGGTATAAGGAATTCTGCCTTCGTTGGTTTGGCCTGGAGAGTCAAACAGCCCTGAGTCCTCCAGGATTTTACACTATAGGGGCAGCTGCAGCAGGTGTGGGCTCTTTTGACCACTTGGTTTTGTCCATCTTGGAGCTATCACAGCATGTCTGGAAAACATTATGGGAACCCACCAACTCATGGGGCAGTGCAGGAGGGTTTGGGTTTGAGCCCTTCATTTGGGGACTGGCACTGCAGCTGCTGCACTTGCAGGGAGCTGTGACAGGGATGAGCAGTTCCAGCTGGGATGTAGMAGAGCTGGAAAGCAGCGAAGCTGCAAAGAGGAAGCTGGAAAAGGGGATAAAGAGGCTGTGCAGGCCAAGAAGCCTGGATTCAAACTATTGAGGTCAATCTACAATCCAATGATGATTAGGTAGGATCAGGTAATTAAAAGGATAATTTATACCAATTTCTAATCCCCATGGACAGTGTTGATGAAGCATTTCTGCTGTTCTGATGATTTTTTYGTGTGGCAAAACCACAGGGAGCGGTAGGAGGTTGGAAGAGCAAGGTTGGAAGAGCTGTTTCTGAGGTCTCAGTGCTTCTCATTGCCTTTCTAGCAACTCCTTTTATCCTTGTGGRCAACCTGAGAGTCAAATGTGGGCACCAGTCAATCTCTGCTGCACGATGCTCTGCTGGCTCCATGAAAGCTGGTTATATCAAACAGCCCCTGCTCTCCTTCCAGCCCCTGCAAAGTACCTACAACCTGTTCCTGCTCAAGACACCACCACGTCACAGCACACATGGTGATACTGCCAATTCTGCTCATTGCTGGACTTATTCCTAGATGTATCAACACGGGTGATATTGCCCTCTCCTGCTGTAATTCAGTTTTTGAAAAGCAGGAGGAAAACAGCATCTTAGAGATGCCCAAGCTGAGACTTGACCTGATTCCCTCTGTGGCTCAAGAGYAGGTATCTTTTATGATATAAACCTGAATGATTTAAAAGGAAAAGATGCAAAAGTAAATTAGCTGACCAAAGGTTATTAACTGYAAAATTATCCAGATGGTCCATGAAGAAATGAGTCTGCTAACCTGTGGGTACCCTTTTACATTCAGAATTTGGAACTACAGCTCCATCTGACATCTCCTACAGCAGGCTTGAATGAGGGTGATTTTCTCTCTGCTGTAAGTATTYGAACTCTTCACAAAGTGGCTTGAATTAGGAGAATAGTTTTGGCTGAAGCAAGGAGAAAGAATTGTGAAAATGTCACTCCTTTTGTCCCCAATCTGACAAAATGACATTTTCAAATGTCTTTCCAAAACAGACTTTCTAAATGAAACTCTGCTTTGAAATGCTTTTCTGGTTTAAAAATGCCCCTAAATTTAGAAAGCAAGCTTTTAAAATAAAGCAGTTTTTTTATTATGGTTACTATTATTGTATTTAAAGGAATTATCCACTTTCGAGATCAGCTTCAACTTAATTTTTCCTTTCTGACCTGTGTTGGYTGTCAAAATTCCATTATTTCTCCACCTGTAGGAGATCTGGAGCCTTTTAGCTACATGCAGGTGCATTTCTGAGGGTTTGGTGCAGGGCTGTACCTCATCCTGCTTTGAGGTCTCTCTTTGCTCCCGGTCTCTGGTATGAGGATACCCATCTTCCCACTCTGATCCTCCCTGTTTGGCTTCTTCCTCTTTTCCTTTTATTCCCATCTATTCCCCCCATTCCTATACTAATTTCCCACAGTGTGGGACACCTGCTGACTCCCCACATGCATACATACAACCTCCTTAATTTTGCTGGGAGTTCAAACTCCACGTTTTCCCTGGCATCACAAGGACTTGCTCCCTTTGGGAGTGCTGCCTGCACTACCAGAGCAGCCTGTTTGATCACTCCGTGCTTGGCCTCTGCTCTGCAGCTCTTGGCCTCTCAGCTGTGGCAACTTGCTCAAATATAATGTTATCAGATCAGCATAATCAAAGTGGAAATGGCTTTGGAAAGGCAGGCAAGGATGGAGCGGCATAATCGGATGCACCATGCCTGTTAGGTTTGCTGGCACATGCGAAGGGATCTGATAGATGGTTCTTCTGACAAAGGAAGATAAGAAATGCCTCAGGGTAAAGAGAAGAATATGGGGAGCTATTTCCCACTTTGCAGTAGTTTGCTAGGAATGCTACAAATTATTTTTCGCCTGTGTAGCGGGGATGGTTGTGCCTCRGTGCAGGATTTTGCTGCTTTACAGCTGTTTGTGCACTGCTGTGGTTGCAGCCAGGTGAGAGCACTGCTACAGCGGCAGCGCTGTGCAATGGGAAATACCTCTGGGTGTTTAATATCCAGTATGGATTTCAATTTTAAATATTTCTGCAAATAAGAATCATGGAATAATCCCASAAACTCTGATCCTGACCTTAAAAGCTGCTCAGTGTAGCATTATACAGGCTGTTGTTGTGCTTCARGTGTTACGTGGGGCCCTCTTTACAGATCTCCCCATCTTCATTTGGCCTTTTTGTTGTGCATGGTAAACTGCTGATGGTGACAGAGAAAATGCCACGGGGAACTTGAAACATTAGCAGGTCAAAAGCTTTGGGAGCTGCAAACAGGCATGCAGAAGCAGGATAAAATGCAAGACTGTTAGCAGTTGGAGTGGGAAGTGGCACCCATTAAATATGAAAAGCATTGTTGGGAAAAAGGCCAAATTCACTGGTGTGGAAGCTGGTGCCTGGGACTCCTTGCTACAAGCTAGCAACCAGTTCTGCTTTGGAAAGCTTGATCTGTCCTTGGCATGGACAGAGTTTCTATCCTCCCCACAGGTGAAAGATGACAGGCTTTTTTGACAGTATTTTTCATTTTCTTCTAGGTAACATTGCATCCCAGAGTCCTCCCTGGAATTAAGCTCCCCTTGTGCTGCGGAAACCTTCACTTCTTGGCTTCACGTGAACATAAAGACCACGAAACCGCTTAAACGCAAAACCCACAACACATTTTAAAGCCGTTTTGCTTCCTTCATTGCTCTGTTCTCTGGACTACGGTCTCTTCTGATAGCCCTGGTAGTGGAAGGTAAACTTTAACTCGATGTTAATGCAATGCACATTGAGCTGTACCCAGTGTCTTTGCACCCATTAACAGCAYAATTAACATCCCCCAGCTAAGCTGCCCTGCAATTATAACAGATTCAATAAGATAATGAAGTTTGGACCTACATGGGGGCCCTTTTGYGATGTAAGGAAGGGAGGTTATCAGTGACAGGAGCAGGGATGGATCCCATTAAAGTGAGGGCAATTGGGTTGAGTTCTTTCCACCATCCATTTGTATGATAGAATACATGAGAAATGCTAAACTGAGTGAATCAGATGTGGCTGCTTCACATCTGGGTGATTTTTAAAATTTTTTCCTCTGTATACCTGTAATTTAAGCCTAGCACTGTTTGTTTCCCTTGGCCTTGTTCACGTCCAGCCTGCTGATGTTACTGAGCCTTACTTTCTGTGGAAAGATCTGCAACTTGCACCAGGAAAATTGTCAGCTGTGGAAGCAACCCCTCAAACTGGCTGTCAGAGACTCCGTGCTGGRCAGCAGGATGCAGAAGTAACGGAGAGCAGAAAAGCTGTGATTTGCTTGCCTGGAGAGGGTGGGAAAGCAGGTAGAGTATGTGATGGGAATAAAGGAGAAGAACTGGAAAAGAACAGGTGAGAAAAAAGTAAATATGCTGCAGGGATAGGTTCTCTCTGTAGCTTTGTAGATCAGGACTGTCTTGAAGGGACCTAAGAGTTAACATGGAGCTGGAGTTCCAAGAAATCAATCCACAAGAGTTTGCATTGATTTGTTTGGAAGCATTAACCTGAGGAATTTCTCCATCTACACTTGTTTTCATTTGTGTGCATGTTCATAGGCATTGATTTTTCTTAAGAYCTGAGCATTGAATTAGATGCTTTTCTGCATGCGCTCCTTCAACCTTGGCTTTTGCAAGRAGGCATCAGCTGGGATTTCACCTAATTTGACTTTTTTTTATTGAGATTCAGTGGCAGTAGGCAGGTCTGTGCACTTTTCGTAACAGCCTTTGAAAGGGCAGTGAGCTGCTTTATCGTTAGGGCTTAATCGTGTTCAGACTTCAGTGCTGTGCTGAAGGGTTGCCTGAGCCACCAAAGGTTGGGCTAGCGCTGTGCAATGGAATAGCTATTCCACACTGCTGTGTGGCATAACCCAGGGGCCAATCCCTACCCCAGGGTGGTGGGTGCCTGACAGGTAGGTCAGATGTTGAAGGGTCATTATTTCTTTGGAAAAGGCAGGTGGATAGGTGCATACGGGGTAAATATGTATAAATTCCTCCCCGAGCAACTTCTAAAGGTTTTGGACATGGAGGATGGCGCGTGGAGCCTTGTATAAGGAGGAAGTTATAGCATCCTAGGCTGTGCAACTCTGGGGAGAAAAGAACTTTTGGCAGAGRGAGATAGGAGAGATTCTTTGGCTACACCAGGCACATTTGGGCAAGGTTCAGCCCTTATCCCTGCCCAATGGTCTGAGCTCCGACTGATCTGGTGGCTGCAAACCCATGCACCCCTAGCTGTGTCTTGTGCTGCTGCCAAGCCTCCCTAACGAAAGGAGCAGACATCCATGCCCATAGCGCTCAACTTGGCATTGATACATGCTCGTTCCTGCTCTCCCTGCACCCAGAGAGCTCCCCTGCTCTCTGCCCACCGCTCATTACTCAGCCTCAGTATTCCCAGGACAGACTTTCCTGAATTGCAATGATGCTGCTCAGTAAAACGTCTGCAAATGCAGCTGCTGCCTAGTTACTGGAATAAAACAAGGATTGCTCTTCCTGAGCAGTGATTTTTTTTTTCTTGTCCTCTCTGGCTTTTCATCCTGCTTTGCCTTATGCCCTTTGGGAGCTCAGCATGGTAACATCTGAGGGACATAAAGTACAAGTGGCTTTGTGCTGTTCTGCATGCAGGATCTGAGCCTGGGTGCAGTGTTGCCAAAAACATCTGATGCAAGTTGCATCTGATAACAGATGTTAAATGCCTTTGAAACACTAACTCATCCTGAAAAGACTGTTTCTTGAACACCTTTAAGCAACACAAAGCTGCTGCCCAGACCAAGTGCTTCCTTCTCTTTTAATAAACAGAAGGGAAATTCCCAACAGTAGGGCTGGGAAATAAGCCATGAAGGACAGGGCAAATATTTTTCATGTTCATGTTACTTAGGGATGAAGGGGTGTTGTAGAACTTGAAGAAATGCCAGCTGCAAAGTCTGGAGATGACTGAACAAGGATTTTGCAATGGAGTTACTCCCTGAGAGCAGGGAGATCCCAGAGGTCCCGTCTCATCCCCATAGGTTGTGTGTGGTTCTGCACACAGTACCCTTCCATGGATACCTTATTTTTTTAGCCACATTGCACAAGCAGCTGTGTCTTGGTGGGTCCTGCTTACTGTGGTGTGTGCTTGCTCCCTTTAGCTGCGTTTTTCCCTAAAAGGGCTCCTGAAGCCAGGCTTACTGCTGAACTCCTCGAGTGGGTACAGCGTGACCCATTTCAAATGATCTAGGGCAGCTAAAGCAGTGTAAAATGTAGGTCTCTTTTGCTATTCTGCCTTACTTTGAGTGAAATCCATTGGACACAGAAGTCCCTAAGCTGATGTAAGTTGATGCACCTCTCCTGATGCTGATGGAGCTTTGCCTGTCCCTTGCAGCTGCAGATGTGCCCTGGCATCTGGTATGATTTATTCTGTGCACTGGTTACTTTAATAGCCCAATAGAACTGTTATTCTCAAGGGRAGATTGGCTTGTAGCTGTATATTTAGAGAAAATCTGCACCCATACGAATTCCATAAGTATCTGCTTCATAGATGTAAACATGGCATTACCCAATTAAGGAGTGTCCTTAATTTATCAGGCAATTAAAGTATTCATTGCCCTTTCTCCCAGGGAGATCCACCAGCGATATATAACCCGAACTGGAGTTAAAACGCTATAATAAATGAACAGTGACGCAATGTATCAACTCTAATGAGGTCATTAAGGCAATGAAGGGTGGTTTGTCAAGAGTGGAGTATGTAACCTAGTTAGTGGAGCTAATGTCATTTCTGGAAGCACCACTGCTCTGGAGAAGTGGGGCATGGAGTGGGGGGATGTCTAGGGAAAAAAATCTCAGTAATTGCATTCCAGGAAAAGTTTACACATTACAAAGTTGGAAATGGAACAGATTTCAGTCTCCCTAGTTATTATTAATAACTTCTTAATACTTTCTTGTGAAAGTTATGAGAATGGGAAATGAGCATCTGAGTGAAGTATTATAGAGGAAGCTGTGTTTCAGCTTAGATCTGGCTGCTGTGGATGTAACAATATTGCTTCATATTCATATAATGAAAAAAAAAGTAAATGTGTGTGTGGGAGCAAATACTTTTGTTATTAATTCTGGCCTAGATGTTCAAAAATGATTTGGAGAGTTAGAACTCCAGTTCAGAGTTATATCCAGATTTTTATGCTTTGTTCCCTTGGACTTTTCTGAAAATCTGAGTTAGCCATTCTAAAACTGTCAGAGCTTTGTTGGGATCAAATTTCCTGTCAGTGTTGTTGCCTCGGTTGGTTGGAGATGCTTTTTGTAGCATTTTGTGGTGTGTATCTCGGATATGGTTGTGCCAGGAGAAGCCACCACAAAGCTGGGACATCTCCAGCTGTGCATAAAGGAAGGATGCTGGTTTCATCATCCCATTTTTAAATCTCATGTTGGGGGAGAAGTGGTCAGACTAAAGGCCAAACAACCTTCTTGTAACTCCTTTTAAAGAACTGCAGCTGTTCAACTTTAGTTATGAAAAAGGTTGGACTGGAAGCAAACAGATATATTAAAATAATGGTTCCACATTTAGGCACTCACAGTTCCTTTTTTTTGGAACTGTGAAGCCAAAATATGCTGTCAAGCAAGCCATGGTAATGGAAAGACTCAAAAAGGGACTTATTCTCTCACCTTTAAGATGGCCTTCACAAGCATTGACCTTTATTTTGACTATTACATGAAGGTGACAGGCTTCAGAAAAGGCTTTCCATAACAGCACTTGGTGGGTTTCTCCATAAAACATTAGATCAAGGATTCACCTGTTAGCTGCTGATGTGGGAGAGATTTGCCCCATTTTAAAGCACTATATCATGCTTGCTGCTTTATTAGGCAGCCTTCGTAGACCTGTAAAATATCTATAAAAGTTAAGGTTATGTATAGAGAGACTATATGAAAACCATGATTTTATATAATCTATATACATACAGAAATTGGAGTYTTGGCACAGTTGATGAGATTGCAAAGCTAGGAGGACATCACTGGGAAAGATGCATCTCATGTGAAAAGAAGCCATTGAAACAAAAAAGCATGTTTTGGTCKGCTGTATCTAGCAAGGGCATGAAGGGTATAGGCTCTGTTTCTGACTCTGCTGTTGATTTGCTCCCTAACCTTGCACAATTAATGCTATTATTTTTCTTTGCTTATTTGGTTTCTTGTCAGCCCTTTGGAGAATGAAAAAAATATGTATATATGTAAACATGTATATGTTTAGTGTGGCATTGTGTGGTGCTTAAGCGAGTAACARCAGCAGAGAGGGCAACTGATCTGCAAGATTTGTATTAATCTGAGGTAGATTATATGGRCTAGAACAGCATAATTTAATACAGGGCTTATCTTTCCCCTGCTACTTGCAATATATTAACTCCACTTAYAGCATCATGCTTTCTTCTACATGCAGTGTCGAAGGGGAATCATTCTCACGCTGCAAACCTTGTGAAGAGTTTGGGGGCTGGTTAGGATCTGCTCTTTATCCATCASAAAGCTTTCATAATTATTGCTAGTGTCTGTACAAAACTATTTGTTTGACTTATCTGGCACTGGGTTGCCCCAGCCTGTGCACCACTCATGTTCTCTTCTGCACTGCTGGGATACAGGATAGCAGCCTAATACCCTAGTTTAGAGAATAACTGAGTCTCTAGGAATAAGATATGTTTGTCAGATTACTTCAGAATTTGCTTTTTCACCAGACCACGCTTAGGGACAAGAACATATGTTTTGTTAAAAGCATGTATCCCAAAAAACGGGTGATTACAGCATTTCTTTCCCTCCTCATCATTCTGGTCCTTTAGCTGGCATTTCTACTGTGTACTTTAAATTTCACAGTGCTGGATTTGGTCTGCTTCTCTTTGCTTTGTCCTTCTGAAGGTGCAATGATAAGACCTTTTTTTATCCTTATAAGAGATAACACACTACCAGGATTCTTGGGAGAATTGTAACTTGTTTTTCTTGATCTTATGGTGAAAATGTAAAATAGCTTGGGTGGCTTCAGTGCTGTCCAACCTGATTTTTGGAGTTGTGGAGACTGCTGAAGACCCCTCTGAGACTGAACTCAGAACTAATCTCTTAACCTCAGTAAAGCAGAGGAAATTCATCTGTAGAAATACTGTAAAAATATTTGATTTGTGTTGTATTTCTAAAGAAAGAACCGTCTCAAAACTTGAGAATTTTAGTAGCTCATAAGAACTGCTTTTATTTTTTTCCTTACTTGGTGATTGTCAGAATCTTTCTCATGTCATATAATTTATGTTAATTAAATGCTGATAGCATATGAAGAAGCATATTGATGGAAGATGTGTTTGAGATACTGTTATTAATTCATCATTCAGTAGCTAGTGTGAAATACATTCCTAGGCTTTGATTTAAGATATTTCATTTTCAATATCACTGAGATGTCTCTGTTTCCCACAGAAATAACCTTTTACTTGGCCATTTGGAGGAGGAAAAAAAAAGGCTAATTTGAGCAAGACTGGATGAACAGCCTTGTTGAAGCAGTAATTATTTAGGAACTTTGGGTTACATTGCATACTGATCACAATTCTCCAAGCAAATGGACAATAAAGCATTATCTTAAAAATAGACCTAACATTTGAATATAAATGACAACTACTAAACTCAATAGCATGTGACTTATTGTATCTCTGCTTAAATTTTGGAAAGTATTAGGACATGGCAACCTTCCTGGAAGCTAAGCAAAACTGAGCTTTTTTCACATATCTGGGTGGGGAGCTGTGTCCAGGACTTCGAAAAAGCAGAGCATGCAGGAAAGATGATCCTAGGATCCTGAGACTGCTAGGAAAAACTCTTCAACTAGAACTCAGCTTGGAAGGAAACTTTATAAAATGTTAAAATGGGATATGTCAGAGAATGAAAAGCTAAGCGAAAATAGCTAGGATGGTCTAATAGTGYTCTAGAAGTTTGTCTGGACTCAAGGGTGAGCATTTCCATCAATTTCTATGTGTTTTGGATCAGGTCCCTGACAAATAGGGAATTCCTAAGTGCTCTTGAATAGCTGGGGGGAAATATAAAAGCACAGGAGCCAAGTTATATGTCATTAGGTTTCCTGGGATAAGTTTTGATCGTGGAACATTTATGGGTGACCTGTATTTCATAAACTCATCGGTGAAATCAAGAGAACCAAAACAACTTCACTGCTTCCGATATCCTGAGGGACACCTTTTGGTTTSAAAAGACCAAGGAAAAAGCTGTATTAGAGGAAAGGGCACAGTTTAATCCCCAGAAGTTGGGGCCTTTTGCCAAAGGCTTGCTCTGCGACCTGCAKCCACCCCTGGTTCTCTTAGCACTGCCGTGGGGAAGGACTGACATATGTCTTTGATAACTTCAAAGACTGAGGTTGGACACTGCAATGTGCAATTCCTACTGACTCCATAGGAAATCTGAGCCCCTTTCTAGAGGGGTCCTGCCACCTGCATGGGCTCATATCCAAATTTGGGTCCTGGTTTGTCTCTGTGTTTCAAGGTATCTGTGCAAATCTTAGATATCTCCTTCTCCCCTCTGTGCAAACGCYTCTGCTTCAGCAGACCCAGGGATGCTTTGCTGTTGACAGACGCTGTGGTAATGAGCGAGGACGTTCGCACGTCCCCCGTTCCTGCATTGAGCCCCTGGGGATGAGTTCAGAAACAGCAGAGAAAGCTAGTGAGGAGCCTCGCCGAGGCAATTACAGATGTAATGGGGAAGGGAATGAGGTAAGCCGTGAAAATCAAGGTAAAATTTCATGASTGACTGGAGCTGAACTAACTGGGTGCCACAGAGGGAAGCGGTCCCATCCCYCAGCGCACAGTTCTTGCTGCTTCCTTCCCTCGTACCACCACCCAACTGGCAAACTGAAGGTTTTKTTAGGGTTATGGGCTTTGTTTTCAGTCAGACGAGAGAGCTGAAGTCAGTGGGTGATTTCTGCTGTCACCTAAGAGTGAATCTTACTGGACTTGCAGCACAATCAAAGGTATAAACTGGTGSAGCATGATGTGATGAACATACAAGTGCTGGGTCTGGGAGAGAGGTGGTTTTGTGCATCTGCATAGAAAGGATGGGGATGTTCCAGACTGCAAACAGTTACTATCCAGTCCTGCTCCCTGGGACTGAACCACTGCCAAAACCAAATTTTGCATTTTGACCGTAACCAAATTTTGCATTTTGACCGTAACCATCTTGTATTTAAGCATAATTCCTGTGAGGTCTTAAATGATATCTGGAAACTTTTCCTTTGAGTGTGAAAGAGGTATTTTCAGTCCATTTTATTTTGCTCAGGACATTATCTGTTTCACAAGACTGTAYGTGAGTGTATAGAGCAAGATGGGGCTGCTTCCCCTTTCAGTTCTCCATGAATGCTGTTCCTGGAGAAGGCTCTGTCTTTCCTGAAGATCAAGAATACCACTTAACCTCTTTTTTGTCTGTTCTCTACTGATGATGGTKTCTAGCCCCACAAATACGGCAAGGAATAATAGATGTAACACACGAGAGAGTTACTTAGAGGTTCAAACATGGAAACACTCAGGAACTGCATTTCTTGTCTCCACTCCACCCCCTCCCATCCCCTTCCCCCAAAAAAGAAAAAAATCACATATCTGGTCAAGTGGAATGGGCTCTCCCTCCAGACATCATCACGGGCTGTCTGTCTCTCACACCAGCTGCACAGTCTTAGCAGGTTTTGGATGTTTTCATGAAAATAAGGCACTCGGAGTATTTACCTTTGCTTTTGGCTTGCCCAGATTTTGGGTTTGGGCAGGGGACAAAGACAGAAGCTGTGGGGGGTGGAGAGCAAGGTACAAGACCTTTCTAGCTTCTTCACGTGTAAATCTCTTGTTTTGGCACTGCAGTGGTTTTCTGTGCCTCCCCTTGCCTGGGGACATGTCATCTTATTTGTAATCTATTGTTTTAATTATTTTTTGTGGAGGTGCCCAAAGACCTCGGGGGTATTGAGAGACAAATACACTATTTATTTGTTAATTATTCATTAATGCAAACTATTTGTTACAATACAGCTGAGTGCAAAATCGCATCCAGACAGACAGTCTCCCATGGATAAGAGGGTAGCTGCTTTATTTACCTACTGTTCCTTGGCCAGTGGGAACATTGCTGAAAGGACTGGAAAGAGGGAAAATGCATTTGGTCTGCAATGATTTTCTGATGAGTCTCTCAAAACTGATCTAAAATCATCAGACAGAATATAGGTTCTCTAATCAACATCTGAATATCTCAACTTATTGCTGTCTTGCCCCAAAATTCCCAGGAGAAGAATTTACCAGGTGGGTAAAAGGGCTTTAATTGCCCTTATTATCACCAGATGTTCCCACTTAGGAAGTGTCTCCATCTCTGCCTTCAATCTGCAGATTCACTTAGGCCTGGAACTTCCCTGATTACCTTTTAATCCAGTGTATAGGTAGCTGTCTTCTCTGCATTTTATGTTAAACATAGAAATAAACACAGAAAGGTTAAAAATAGAAATAATCTGGAGCTGAAATAATTTGCCTTTCCTGGCTGAGTGCCTCATGCTCTAGGTTTCAGTCATATTTCAGCTGAGATTGTCAAGAGAGGCGCTAGCCAGTACTAATCTTGGTGACAGTTTTCTCTGGCAGATGCTTGGTCTCAATTCTTCATGGATGTTTTCTTTCTTATCCCTCTGCAATCTGAATTCTATCATTTTTCTGTGTTGATTGCTGTAAAAGAAAGGCCCCCTGCAACCCTTCAGATGCCATCTTGCCTATTTCTACAGGAGGAGATGAATCTTCCCAACCTTTTGGGAAGGGTTGCCCTAAGGGTTGAACCCCCTCCTGTGAAGACAGGGCACAATTTTCCCTTTTGCAGCTGTCACTGGTGGGTAAGTCACTCGTGGTGGGATGGCGGCTTCAGAGATGGTTAAATACAACATTAATAGGCATTGAATTAAACAAGGTTCTTCGAAACCTCAGGGAAGTTTTAAGAGACTTTGAGAGATTTTTTTTTTGTTTTGTTTTAAATAGCTAATAATTGCTCAACATTTGATTTTCTTTTAAGCTTTAGGGGAATGCTTCAGTTGATTGACAATGGGTGAGAGAGTGGTTGAAATTCTCCAAAAGTATTGATGAAACCAGAGTTTTTCTAGTGACAAGGCAGACTAGAGAGGCAGAGGGGAGAGCTGTGTGCAGTACCTAGGGAGTATTTTTGGGCTTCCTGAAAGATGAGCTTTATTTCAGGATTATTCCACCAACCTGAATTTGAGTGGGCACCTCTTGAAATAGAGTTCCTCAGCTCAGGAAAATCGAGTTCTGGACTGCCAAAAACCACAGTGATGAGCAGGTCCCAGGAGACTGACAGGAGGAGGGTTTTTACCATCTTGAGGATGTTTCTGGGAGCTCTGAGACTGAGAGGAGAATCGCTTTGGCTTCACAGTCTAATCAAAAAAAGCCCTTGGGACATATTGGTCACCACAATCATCAGCTCAAGAGATTTTTTTTTTGCATCTGCTTGATTAGCATGTTAGATTGCTTCAGTAATCAAGGAAATGAAGTCTTTAGTGCTAGGGACAGATTTACAGATTTTCTGACAAGCCCTAGAAAGGGTAGGGAGGTAGATGGGGTGAAAAATCCCAGCAGTGGAAGGGTAAATCAAGTGCACAGCACTGGCCTCAGCTGTTTAATGGAAGACAGCTCAATCACTGGCATGATCTATCCCTATAGATTGAGCGCACGGCTATGATCAACTCCTGTGTCCTTGCTGTTTGTAATTTTGACTTCCACTCTCCATTTAAATGGGAGTTATGGAGCAGGAAGCTCAATTTCTGCACGTTGTCTACCTGAGTTTGTACCTCTTTGCTGGTGCTGTTGCCGCTTGGCACAGTCATAGTGTGATGCACCTGGSACGTACCTGTCTCTGCCCTTCCATAATTACAAAGCCCAAGTTACAAACACTTCAAAGAAAGTGATCTTGAGAGGCCCCAGATTCTCTAGCAGAGTTGCATAAATTGTTAGCAACTTAGATGTTTTGCAGGGTAATTTTATGTCTATTGCTCTCTGGGAATGGCTCTCTAATACTCCCACTGCTCCTACCTTACTTAAAGTTGTAAGAAAGGAGCACTCAGGTATTTCCACTATCTTGGTGATCCACTTGGAGAGGTTTAGAAAGCAAGGTGGGAAGGTCCTGGGGAAGTGATGGGTATCAGCACATTGGAACTTGCTTTGAGAGCTTTGGATTTRCTCTGCTTAGTCTTCCTCTTGGTGTAAGAGGACCATGAAATCSGTTGCCCTGGGTCCTAAACTGTCCTACATGGATGGGGCTGTGTCCTGTCCTCCCAGCACCAGCAGCCCTGGCTCATCTGCAGTGAGGACCTGGCTGGGGTGAGCAGTGTCAGGAACTGCCCATCTTGCACGTGCCCTGCACCTGGCCGTAGGCACACGGTGAGTAGTTTCATCTTTCGCCCTCTCCTTGATGCTCCCAGGTGTTAATTTTACGGCACCACAATCTGTTTGCCTGCAGTGATCTGTCTCACGGCCCTGCTGTCCGTTTCGTAGCAAACCCAGGYGTGAAGCCAGTGACTGGAGGCATCGGATATGGGAGCAACAGGAGTAGCCTGTGCCAAAGTTGCATCCTAGGCTTGGGTTAATGGGATACTGCTCATTTAAAAATAAAGAAATGTCAACATGGTCTGAATGTTTAGTGCAGTACAGTGCATAATTGTACAGAGATTAAAATTTC